AAGGTACAAGATCCCAATGATGAATGTAACTGTACTGTATACCTGAAATGTACCAACAAACTCATGGAGAAAAAATAAATTTTAAAAATTAAAAAAATACTAAGAAACCAGTTAATATCCAAAACAGAACAATGTTTTCTTTGCATTTATGTGTTTTGCGCACTGAGAACAAGAACAAAACTAGAATGTCAAAGTAGTTTCTGAATTGATATTTTATCTTTTTAATTTTTATTGTAAAATAAATTATGCATAGACATAGAGTGTTCATGTATCCTTCACCCAGTTTTCCCCAGTGGCTGTGTTATATGATTAACCATCATAAAATTATATAATTATAGTACAGAAATTTGGTAATTATAGTACAAAATCAGAATAAAGAGTTTTACATTGGCACAATGTATATATTCAGTTCCATGTCTTTTTCTCATATACATATCTGAGACTTTTACCATAATCAAGATACAGAATACTGTAGCAAATGCTTCACTCAAACTCATTCTTTTCTGCCCCCACTTACCACCATCTTTAACCCCCAGCAACCACTAGCTTTCCAGGTCTTTAATTTTGTCATTTCAAGTATGATACATGAACAAAGGATGCCTTGTGTAATCTTTTGAGATTAGCTTGTTACTTGCTAGAATACCCTTGAAATCCAGTTAAATTGTTATGTGTATCATTAGTTTATTCATTTTAATGGTGAGTAGCATTTTAATAGTGAATAGTATGGATGTTTCACAGATTATTCATTCACCTATTGTGCAACATTTTTATTGCTTCCAGTTTTTTACTATACAAATGGAGCTTTTATGAAACACCATGTACAAGTTTTTATGCACATACAAGTTTTTATTTATCTGGGATAATTGCCCACAAGTAGAGTTGTTGGTTCATATGGTGCACATATGTTTATTTATCATCTGTATATTCTCTAATGAAATGTCTTTTTATGCCCATTGTCTAATTTTTTAATTGTATAATTCGGTTTATTACTGGTGAGTTTTGAGTTTTCATATGTTCTACTTTAACATATTTGCTTTGCACATATTCTCTCTCAGCTCATAGCTTGTCTGCTTATCCTCTTAAGAGTTTCACAGAGGAAAATTTTTTAATTTTGAAGAATTCCAATCTATTAATGCATTTTTCTTTTATAGATTGTGCTTTTGATATCTTGTGTAAGAACTCACTGGTTAATCTTTAGTCAAAAAGATTTTCTCCTATATTTTCTTCTAAAAGTTAATGTTTTCATATTTTTCACTTAAACCTATACTCTATTTTGAGTTAAATTTCATATAAAGTATGATGTTTAAATTCAGGTTCTTTTATGTTGGACTGTTGTTGTCCATTTGCTTCAGCACTATTTTTTGAAAAGATTATTTTTCCTTCATTGAATTGTTTGTGCACCTTTCTCAAAAATGACTGTAGGGCTGTTCCCCAATTCTGTATTCTACTCTTCTGAGTCTTGTGTCTGTCCTTTCATCAATATCACATGGTCGTGGTGATGTGTAAATAATGTCTTGAAATTAAGTAGAATAGTTATTGTCTTACTCTTGTTCCAAATTCTATTAGATATTTTGATTTCCTTACCATTCTATACAAATTTTATAATCTAAACCATACACTGTATAAAACATTGTATGTGTGTGTGCTGGAATTTTGATAACAATTGTGTTAGATCTGTATAGCACTTAGGGGCAACTAAAATCATCCCCCCCACCCGGTAATTCTAGGGGTTGAATTCAGGGCATTTACACTGAGCTACATCCCCAGTCCCTTTTTATCTTTTATTTTGGACAGGGTCTCTCTAAGTCACTAAGTTGCCCGGACTGGGCTTGAATTTGTAGTCCTCCTGCTTCAGTCTCCAATAGTGCTAGGATTATAGGCATGTAACAACACTAGCTTTGATGTCTTCACTATGTCATGAGTGGTGTGCCATAAGGCTGTGTCTCTCCATTTATTTCAATCTTCTTTTATTAGGATTTTATACTTCTCAGGATACAAACCCTGTATATGCTTTGTTCTATTCATGTCTAAGTATTTCTTCCCCGGGCATTTTTAATTTTGGTTTTGCATGTTCATTACTAATAAATAAAAATACAGTTGGGTTTTGTATGTTAATCTTACATCCTGTGTGTATCTAAATACTTATTAATTTTGAGAGGTTTTTTTTTTTAGGATTCCTGAGTAGGCTGTCTTATCATCTGTAAATAGACACAGTTTTGTTTTGTCTTTTCCAGTATATGTGCCTTTTATTGAATTGAATTTTCTTGATTCAGTGTGCTGGTTAGAGTTTTCAGTACGATGATGAATCATAGTAATAAGAGTGAATATCCTTGTTTTCCTCATCTTTGGGGGGAAGGCATTTAATCTTTTACCATTTAGTATGTTAGTCATGTAGGGGTTTTTATTGTATATATTCTCTATGAAGTTTGGCAGGGAAGACTTTCACTTATATTCCTTATTGGTAGAAGTTTTTCTAATGACTAGGTTTTGATTTTTGTTAAGTGCTTTTTAATGAATTGATAGTCATATTGTTTTTCTACAGCAATGATGACATACATTAATACTCAAATATTGAATTAGCTGTATATCCTTGGATGAACTTATTTGATTGTAATTTAGTTTCTTTTATGTTTTGTTGCATTCTTTTTGCTAAAATTTTATTAATAAATTTTACATTTATATTTGTAATAAATATGGGTCTGTGGTTATGAGGTGTGTGTGTGTGTGTGTGTGTGTGTGTGTGTGTGTATTTCTTTTGATGCTATCTTTGGAGTACCAGAGTAATACTGGTTTCATAAAACTGGCTGGAAAGCGTCCTTTTATTTTCTCAAAGAACTTGTATAAAATTTATATTAATTCTTCTTTAAACTTTTGCCATATTGAACTTCCTGAACAGTTACAGAGCTGTTCAAATTATGTGTTTCATATTAAATTTTGGTAATGTAAACACTTAGTGCTATAAATTTTCCCTTCAATACTATTTTGGCTGTATCACACATATTTTGATTTTTTTTCAGTTCAATTTATTTTATAACTAATCTTTTTTTTTTTAGGCTGACGTGTGGATCACTTAGTATAGTTAACTTTCAGATAGTTGGATATTTTCCTGGGTTTTATTATTGTTGTCACTAATTTCTAGTTTGATTTCATTATATTCAGAAAATTGTGTGATTTCAGTTGTTTTGATTCATTTGAAGTTTGTTTTGTGGAGCAGGATATGTTCAATCTGGGTATATATTTAGTGCTAGATGAGCACTAAAAAGGAATATATGTGGTGTTAGGTGGAGATTGAAGATGTTGTTGAATTCTTCCATATCTGATGATTTTTTGTCTAGTTTACTTAATTTTGAAGAGTGGCATATTGAAGTCATCAGCAATAATAGTGAATGCGTGAATTTGTGTACTTTGCTTTTCAGTTATTGAAGATTTTGCTTCCCATTTTTAAAGCTCTTTCTTGAGGGTGCATAGAAGTCTTTTTGGTAGTATACTATTATGTACCCATAAAAATTTTTCTTGATGAAACACCTACTTTCTCCTATATTAATATTGCACGTATGCTTTCATTTAATTAACATTTCCAAGTATCTACATAGTTGTTACATCATTAAGTGACTGTCAAAGTTCAGAATTTCTAACCATGTACTTGCCTATCAATATTTACCTGTTTACAGAATGAAAGTTTTACATATTGTACTATTCTCCAGTTAATTGGTTTGAAGGGCCCAAAATATTCATTGTACTATCAAATTAGGTGTTGAATTTAGTATGTTCATTGACAATCTCTCTCCATACCTGTCCTTTGTTTTCAGTATGTTAACATGCTCAAGTTTTTCCCATCTAAAAAAAAAAAAGCTCCTAAGATCTACATGCTTTTCTAGCCCCTACCTTAACTGAACTTCTAAAAGGAATAATTTATACAAATTATGCCCATTTTCTCTTAGACCCACTGTAATACTTTCTTCCCACCCCTCCCCTAAATCATCACTGATTCTTGTTACCTTACCTAACCTTTCAATGAAATGTGAATGAAGAAACCATATTGAGCATCTAACTTAGCCTTTAATGAGACTGTAGTAACAGTCTACCTGTGTTTGTCCATATGAAAGCCTCAAACAAAATGTATGAGCTAAACCCACAGAACCATGAAAGATAAAAAATTGTCTTGAGCCACTAAGTTTTAGGATGATTTCATATCAATGAATAACCTCAACAGAAATGTACTGAAGACTTATTTCTCTGGTTCTCATAGTTCCTAGTCTTTTTTTTTTTCCTTTGTTTCCTATCTCCTTGCATTTGGTGGTACAACTTTTATGCTTAACTATAAAATGTGCACTTTGGGAGATTTATGGTTATCTGACCTTTAATTATGTTAGATTACTAATCTCATCTTTAAAAGCTTCTTTAAAATAAGGTTTTATATTGTTTTCCTTCCTGCTTTCAGATAAGCCAACTTAGACCAATGTTTGCATTTATTTCCTTAGTAAATGCTACAACTAGTTAACACAATCAAGCACTAATGTTTATTAATTAATTCTCGTAAAAGAATTTGAAAACATGTAGTCTGTGCTTCAGCATCAATAGTGTACTTTGCTAATAAAAGAGTAGATGACAGGGAAAACAGATGTGCTAAGTATATATAATGATTACTCTAGAAATAATGTTTAATGTAATGCTTATTGAAACAAGACTAGTGAATCATGCAGTAAGAAGCTAGATAAACTATGTATTTGTATATGTTGTGAATTTTGCTATTTAACATAGCTGTATAACTGCAAATGTTAGGTTTTTATAACATACTGTTTAACTCCAATAAGCTCAACATTTCGGAAAACTCAAAGGGAATGTATTATTAAATGCCATGAAAATAAATGTTGAGCAACGTTTATCATAGTCTGTTGTCAATGAGCAGTTTTGTGTGATTGACAGAAAGAGGGAAGATTTTGTTTTCTGAAATTTTCATTAAGTCCCTACCAAATCAGTGATTTTTTTTTTCATTCTAGTTCTAAGAACAGATGGAATTTGCTATGGATAATTCATATGATTTCAACGAACAAAGCTCTTGTAATGGAATTCCATCTGAGAAGAAAAACAACTTCCTTGTGTCAGAAGATCATGGACAGAAAATCTTAAGTGTACTGCAGAATTTTAGAGAACAAAATGTCTTTTATGATTTCAAAATAATCATAAAAGATGAAATAATCCCATGTCATCGTTGTGTGTTAGCAGCATGCAGTGATTTTTTCAGGTACTTTACCTTGTCTATGCCTCAGATTTTATGATCCAAATAATTGACATATTTTATATAACATTCAATTTTTCCTCCACAGGAACATGAGTTAGTAGTTTTTAATTCTTAAAGAAAAACTAATTGGAACTGGATTAACTAGTGATTTTGAATTGGAGAACTGAAGACTACCGTTTTGAAAGTGTGGGTCTTCCCAAGCCAGCAATTCTCAAATTTATATGGAACATTATTAGTCCCAGAAAACATTCTGAGAAAAAGAGAACTTCTTTTCATTTGGGGACAGTTGTGGGAGATCCCTATACTACATCATATTACAAAACAGTAAAATGACAAGTTAAACAGAATTGAAAGCAGAATTCAGAGAAAGTGAGTAAAAGAAAAATAAATTTAAATTCTGTATTATATCCATGTGTTATCCAAGAGGAGGGACCCTTAGGTCAGAGGATTTAAAACAATTGCTTCTCTCTTTGGCAGATACTTTTATTGGGAACAGTATTTCTTAGTTGAAAAAGATTTCTCTAAAATGCCCAAATTGTTCTGATTGTAAGCAACCTCTTAAATATAATTTGTTTTCCCATTCAGTCATCGCACAAGAAATGTGCTAGTGATGACACTATAAAAATCCCTGTAATAACACTATAAAAATCACTCTAATTACAGCAGATTTATGATTCTACAGCATAAAGGGTGGACACATTACCTAGCACTCTAGTAATTGTTTCAAGATAATACCCTCCTGTGGGGCCTCTTGGTTAACAGAGAGGCAAGTGTGTCTTGGTGATACCCTAGTCTTCAGTCCTCTCAGTCATAGTGCAATAAACTTCATTTCTAATTTTGCATTATGTTTGATTTTGGGGACAAAGTATGTAGGATTTAAATCTCTATACACAAACAGTAAAAACAGTAAAACAATATTAAATAAGATGCAGTTTATACCATTTTAATGCTCATTTTAACTCCTATTTTTCAGCGACCATCTAACTAGTTCTAACCCATGCTTTCTGTAGAGTAGATCGCATAAGCTGGACTTCACTCAGCAAACACTTTTTGATATTACTACTGCTTGCTAAACATCTGCTTCTGTAGGGATTTTGCTTCGACTATGGGAGCAGTGACTCAGGGCTTCCCAGTTTGCTGAGGACAGAGAGGCTACAATAGTTTTGAACTAGACTGTTAAAAGTGTTCATTTGTTCTTTGCATTTCTTCTCTTAGATAATCTAAGTTATTCTTTGAATTCCAGGGTGGCCCTAAAAGTTCTTATACTGTACTGTGTCACTCAGCCTCCATCAATGTCCTCCCTCCACTCTTCTAATTCAGCTTTTCCTTTTAAGTCCTTGGTCTCTTAATACATATTCCCTAAATCTGAATCCCAAATCTGCCACATATTGAATATGTGTACTCAAGTACATTATTTAACCTCTTGAGGCCTAAGGTTCCTCATTTATAAAGAGCCTAGGGAAATAAAAATAGGTCCTAACTGATAGGGTTGTGTGTAAGTTATGATTGCACACTGCTTGCTACACTCAGTAAATGGTAACTGAGAATGGTTATTATTACTTCCAAACCAGCAAAAAGTAGAAATAATCTGGTGTGAACTTATAGCTTGATTTCCTTACAATATTTTTATGCTAATAAAATATGTTAAGTATTTGAATTTGTCGTCCTGTAGTAGTGAAGTAACTTTTAATTGAATATTTTTGTCCATAGTACTTTGGTAAGTTTATGCCTACTTTTTTATGGGTCTGTTTTTCATTTTTAAAATTACTAATAAAACAGAACTACAAAGTTGAGGCAGGAGGAATCAAAGATTCAAGCCCACAAGTTGCTGGGAAGCTTAGTAACCTCTCAAGAACTTTGTCTTAAAAAAATAAAAAATAGAGGCGGGTTCGGTGTAGCTGGGGATATAGCTCAGTGTGGTCTTGTGTTTAGTCCCCAGTACTCAAAAAAAAAAAAAAAAGAATAATATATTTTTTATATTTTCTACCTTTTTTAAATAATACAAATGACAGACTTACATTTTATTAGATGAGTACAAATTTCACATAAATACACATCATTTACACTTTTGAATGATAAAGTCACTAATTCATCATATTTGTATTATGATCAAATGCATGCACTGGCATTTTAAGAGGAAATTATCAGAATGCGAGAAAAGTACACGATGAATGTTAAATAACCTTACACTTTTTCGACAGTGAAAGTTATGACGAAGATTTAAAGTTAATTGGGGTTAAGTTTGCAGGAAACCCACATGTTTTATATACCCACATGATGCAACATGGTAAATTTGAGATAAATGTTAACTGGATACTTGGAAGATGCGTATTACAAAGTGCAGTATTATGATTATATGTGTGTCTTTTGACAGAAAATGTGAGTTGATGGTAAATTAAGGTATATAATGGCTGACAAAAAGCGTTTACTTAAGATAATAATACACTAATAGCTAATACTTTGCATTGATTAACTCAGTTATTTCTTCAGTAACCCAGTGAGATAGATACTTTCAATATCCCCATTTTCAGATGAATAATTTGAAGCACAATGAATATGTCACGTCCCCAAGATTACACAGATAATAAGCGGGAGCAGCTAAATACCTAGGTAGTTGACTTTGCAAGTCATGCTCTTAACCTTACCCTAAGATGACTCTAGATATTTTAATAAACTAATATAATTATCATAACAAGTTAACATTCTAAGTTGATAGACATTATTGAGAACTTGTACATAATGTGTAGCATGCATATATTTTATCACTATATTTATCTGATTTTATATTAAGACTATTGAATAGCTTCATAGGGCAGCTCTTTATCATCCCTCCTTTTCCTAAGGGTGTTCTTTATTTGCAAGATCCTCATATTTTTCAGTTGGATGTTCTGATTCTTTAATACTTTTACTTACCCTCTCGAGCAGACTCAACTAAGTAAATTGGCTTTTCCCTGTAGTAGTTGAACACCTAGGGACACTTCTGACAAAAGCATTTTGCTCAATACCAAAACAAATATAAATCATTATTAAACCAGAAAGAGTGGTAAAATACATTTTACTCTCTGTCCACACATTTCCAAATAGTCTGTCATATTTTTGCCTACAATAAGCCAAAGAAATTCCCAACTTCTTTGATTCTATCAACTTTACCATGTGAAGAAAAATAGAATTTAACAATGAAGAACTTTCAGGCATGTCAGTTGATTCATAGTCAGACAATCATCTCTTTCAGTGGCTGACAGTTAACACAAAACTTTGTGTTAAGTTAACAACTAGTTGCTGAGTCTCAGCTATACTATATATATATATTCTTAGTATGGGAGTTATTTAATATGTTTGAGGGCAGATTAATAATGTACATAATTATTTCATATATTAAAATAATTTCTCAGGATGTTATTAAAATATGATTTTTCAAGTATATTTTAAATCAACTTTAGAATAAAGGAAACCAATATAAAGGTAATATTGAATATAGTTATGAAATAAAATATTCCTGTTTATTTGTTCTTTTGTGTTCTTTATTTTTTCAGGGCCATGTTTGAAGTAAACATGAAAGAAAGAGATGATGGAAGTGTTACCATTACTAATTTGTCCTCCAAAGCAGTAAAAGCTTTTCTTGATTATGCCTATACTGGAAAAACAAAAATAACTGATAATAATGTGGAAATGTTTTTCCAGTTGTCATCATTTCTTCAAGTTTCCTTCCTATCCAAAGCTTGCAGTGACTTTTTAATAAAAAGCATTAATCTTGTCAATTGTTTACATTTATTATCTATTTCAGATAGCTATGGCTGTACTCGTTTGTTTGATCATGCATTGTACTTTGTACGACATCACTTTTCTTTATTATTTAAATCTAGTGATTTCATAGAGTTAAATTTTGGAGTGCTACAAAAATGTCTGGAATCAGACGAATTAAATGTTCCTGAAGAAGAAACAGTACTGAAGGTCGTCCTTAGTTGGACTAAGCATAACTTAGAATTAAGGCAAAAGCATTTGCCACATTTACTTGAAAAAGTAAGATTACATCAGTTATCTGAAGATACACTTCAAGACTGTCTGCTGAATGAAGAGTATTTACTCAAAAGCACAAATTCTTTTGACATAATCGTGGATGCAATTAAGCGTGTACAAGGTTCTAGTGGACTTTTCCCAGATGCTCGACCATCCACAACTGAAAAATATATATTCATTCATAAAACTGAGGAAAATGGAGAAAATCAGTATACATTTTGCTATAATATTAAAACCGATTCATGGAAAATACTACCACAATCACACCTGATTGATTTGCCAGGGTCTAGTCTTTCTTCTTATGGAGAGAAAATATTCCTGACAGGTGGTTGTAAAGGGAAGTGTTGTAGAAAGGTTCGACTTCATATTGCTGAGACTTATCATGATGCCACTGATCAAACCTGGTGCTACTGTCCAGTCAAAAATGATTTCTTTTTGGTATCAACTATGAAAACACCAAGAACAATGCATACATCAGTTATGGCTCTCAATAAATTATTTGTCATAGGTGGAAAGACTAGAGGATCTCAGGACATTAAAAGTCTCTTAGATGTTGAATCTTATAACCCTATCTCCAAAGAATGGGTATCTGTTAGCCCTCTACCTAGGGGCATATATTATCCCGAAGCAAGTGCATGTCAAAATGTAATATATGTGCTTGGATCAGAAGTAGAGATTACAGATGCCTTTAACCCATCACTTGATTGCTTCTTTAAATATAATGCTATAACTGATCAATGGTCTGAACTAGTAGCAGAGTTTGGGCAGTTTTTTCATGCTACACTAATTAAAGCTGTCCCAGTAAACTGTACACTGTACATATGTGATCTTTCCACCTATAAAGTATATAGTTTTTGTCCAGATACCTGTGTTTGGAAGGGTGAAGGATCTTTTGAGTGTGCAGGCTTTAATGCAGGCGCAATTGGAATTGAAGATAAGATTTATATCTTAGGTGGTGATTATGCACCAGATGAAATCACAGATGAAGTGCAGGTCTACCACAGCAGCAGGTCAGAGTGGGAAGAAGTTTCTCCAATGCCCAGAGCCTTAACTGAATTTTACTGTCAAGTTATTCAGTTCAATAAATACAGGGACCCATGGTTTTCTAATCATTTCTAAAAATGGTATGTGCTTGGAGATTCCTGCAATGTGCAATAAATGGGTTTACCATAATGATTAGTTAAAAGGTCTATCTTAATAAAATAAAATGTTCCTGCTATTAGGTAATTACTATGTATGTATTATATCTATGAATAGCATTTCCTGGAAACTTAAAATATAAAATACATTTTACCAAAAATTGTATTGAACATAATCTTAAAAATCCAGAATACTTAGTGTTTTCATATGTTAAGTTCTTTTTGAAAAACTAAAAAAAAGAGTTTGCAGATTTGGACTATGTATACAGGGAAATCTCTTGAGGCAGTAAAAATCAATTATACACTATATTATGTGACATGAAGGATAAAAGTTGGTAATCTCATCTTGATACTAAAGTTATAAGAATTATTGAATTCCTAATCTTTCTGATCATTGGTCAACTTCTTTTAAATACTCTTACCATTATCTTTTCTTTTACCATTATTTTGGTCAGAAATTTTTCAAAAATGAAATGAAATATATTTCTCCACTTTTCTACACAGTACACTAAACAAAATTTAGCTTTATTTATGATTCAGCTCTTCATTAAGAGTATATGGTACAATATTACAATGTTACTCAATTAGTGGTTACTTAAATCTTTAAAAATTGCTTATTCTATTGGTTTTCAGTGTCAATTGATTTCAATGTTTAGTAGTACCATATGTCTCTTCTTATTTTCTGGTTCAGTTTTAGTAAATTAAAATTCTCCATATACTCTATAGCTATAAATTATACTTCCCCTGAATTTATCTTAACATATAAGCCATTGAATGATATGCTTGGATTTGGAGATGAAGTCTTGAAATACTTTTCCTATATAAATGCCAGGTTCCAATGAAATTGAGTATAGAGAAATTTTGGTCTCCACTTAAGTGGATTATTATTGTTCCATTTCTTAATCTTGAAATCTGAGCTACAGTAAGAAATGTCCTAATATAATTTGTACGATATCAGTTTTCTTTGACAAGATATAAGAACTATAAAGCACCATGTGGCTTTAGTACTTCAGGAAATTATTCATAGTCAATTATTTTCTAAATTTAACGTATGACTAGGGTTTGGGTATTGGTAATAATGTTCACAATCTGCATCTACTTAGATGTTTAATATTCACCAAAATAATCAGCTAGATCTGCCTCACAAAAGGGTGTATTTCTTTAAGGAGTTTAAAAGATGTAGGCATTTTATGTCTTAAGGTCCCTAATTTAATCTCAGGTAATCTGTGGATTATATTTCTCTGGAACTAAATGTAGTTTACTAGGAAGTAAATGTTACTCAGCAGTAAATGTAAAATGGAAATATACCTAAATGAAGGTCCTTTTATTTTACCATATGAATGTTTGAAAATATAAGTTTAAATATATTTTTCAAAACTGAACAAGATAGTAAAGTAAAATTTGTTGTGATTCCAAAATCAGGGACTATCTCTAATTAGATGACAACTATATAGAGTATTCTATAGAATTGGTGGCCTTTCCATATAAGCACATGTTTAGTGGACTTCCCTTTCCTTTACGTGTGTTGAAGAAAAAAAAATCCAGTGGAGGTTTCTCTGTATGTGTGCCTTTCAAAACAAATTAATTTGAGACTTTAACAGTGAGTGACCTATATGTGGATTTACTGAACTGTTAATGTAAGCATTTTTGATAGGCTATGTTTAAAATAAGTATTATAATCATTGACTAGCAATTGTTCATCTCTTCCAGAAAGAAGAAACTAAAGCAAAATTGAATCTCTTCCTGACACTGTTTCATTATCATATCATCTTGATTTTCTCCATTCGTATCATTGACCATTGATTTATGGTAATGGTCCTGGAAGTACCCTTCTTGTCAAGATCTAGGTGGCTCCCTCTACATTTAATTTAAAACCTTTTCTAACAGTTAAGTCCCTGACTTACGCTAGGAGAACATTCATAAGTTGGATACATTTGTAAGTACAACAAAGTGAGTTATACACCTTTGATGCAAATGTAAAATGTATATTGCTTTGCGCTTCCTAGCAGTCCACTCCACATTACCACTGCTCTTCCTCTTGCTTCCAGACATCTTGGGCTCTGAGCACTCCAGTGTAGCACTACTGCACTATACAGTAAACACACAGCAGCACAACTGTGACATATCGAGCAGACATTTGAGTTACTTCTGAGACTTGTTTGCGTCTGTGAATATTCATATGAAGTCTGTTCATATCTGTGAAAGTTTACAACTTGAATGTTCATAAGTCAGGGACTTACTATACAGATTTTCTGCTGTAGTTGCTACAATTGCTATGAGTTACTTTTAAATTATTTTATCTTTTTAATTATTGCCATCCCTTTATATCTGCACTTTTGTGTTCTCCATCTGCCCCTGTGAGGAAAATACTCTCTCATATATAATTCCAAACTCTCAGTGATTTCTCATCTATTCTTATTACCTCCAGAAGGAGATATTTTTCCTGTCTAAATTTTGGTGAAAGAAAATAACATCCTTTTATGGTTTTTTCCATTTGACTGTTTTTTTAAAATTTGTTTTCCTTTCATTTTATTCTTCAGCCAGTGTTACAGTGTAAGAAATAGGACAATTGTGCTTATTATCCAGATTGCTGTTGATTGAAAGTCTTCTGTTTAATATTTCTAAATCCGCTATTGTTTGTCTTGCTATACTACATTTGGATTATGCATACAGAAATGTTTAAACACTGTAATATCTCTTAAAATTGAAAGTAGGTATAGGTATTGTTAAATATAAAAAGATTGAACTTAACATGAGGTCATTTCAAAATTAATAGCTATTCCTACAGAAGTTCTCAAACTTGGTCTATAATGTTTTACACCTTTTGTTCATTTTACAGCCACTGGGACTAAGTAGTGTGAAGGTTAAAATTAACCTGGTCAAAATTAACTAAACTCTCTCAATATTTCACTGTAGTACAGAGAAAGAAAGATGTCTTTATTACAGAAGTACTCATCACACAATACTGTGGAAGCTAGGTTACTTGAGAACAATGTTATACTGCAATATGATTCCATTCTCCCAGATATTAAGAAGGGCCATTGGATGTGTGTTGTGTGCTTAGCTGCTTGAAAATAAGATTCAAGCAGAGAGGGATGCATCTATTTTTTTGATATTTGGAACTCATACATGTCAAAATGTAATGATTAAATATGTAGTTGAAGACATGCTACTCCAAAAGATCATAATTAATTCTTAGATTAATTGGAACGCAATTCTTTGGAAAATTTTCTCCTCTATATTTAGAATTGAAGTGTAAGATTCCAAAATGTCTTCCAGGGGGCAGCTCTTGAGGGCAACCTAAAAATATTGGTTGGAATTTATAGGAGAACAGACTAAGGTTCAGTGTAAGAAACAACTTTTCTTCACTTTTTAAAGTCCTCCTTTAGAATGACACTATTCAGTAAAGACTCTGTCATGTGACAAATAATTGGCTGAATAATTTCCCACACAGTACTGCATGAACAAATATTGTTAAATTGGGTTTACACATTTTGATCTCATTTTCTTATATCTGATTAATTACTTCTTCCAATTTATTTAGCATTTCAGGCATTCTAATTTAGGTGGTTCTCCATACTCAAGATTTTTCAGTAGGACTGAGTTTTAAAACTGTATCATTTGAGAAAGATTTGCATTGAAATGAATCCTCTTCTCTTTTTCTTTTCTTTCTTTAATCACTCAGGAATTGACTATAAATGGTGCTGACATTTACAGTGAGTTGTTAACTGGAGTTTTTCCTTCTATTTCCCATAGGTGCATTTCTTTTTTATGGTGAGTAAAAATTTAAAGCCCAGTATATAAAATTTTCTCTGAATTATTCTGATTTCTTTAAAAAATATATATAACCAAAGATGTTGGTTTGAATTCAATATTATTTAATTTGAAAGACTATCTTTTTACCTCAAAAATTTAAATACATATATAATCAGATGAATGATGTTTAATCAAATATAATATCAAACTAAAGAATTTAGTGATAAGATGATATTGTTACACATTGATCAAAAGATAACTTCTAAATCATAGATTCATGTTCACATTTGAAAATAAGCTTGGAATCTAATGCAGCTTCCAATCTAATGTAGAAAAGCCCTCCAAATTATGATACATCCTGAACATAACAATCTTTTTCAGTTTCTCATTCAGTGCATTCAGGGGTAGAATCACTATCTTTATTTTTGAACACTTCTATTATGGAGTTCTTCCTAACATTGAAAAGAACTCTGCCTCACTGTAATTACTTCCAGCTGTTAGTGCCAGGTTGCTGTCTCATGCCTGTTATTCAGATGTTTCAAACAGTACCTTGTCTCTCATTTTCCAAAACAATGCCTCATTTTCCTTCTCCTTCAAGTGCTAGCACATAAACATCTCCTACAATGGCTGGATTATATGTTTTTTCCTTATACAGTTGACTAAGAAATTGGCCTAGCTTTGTCTCTTAGAGGATCAAACCCTAACAACATCACAGATTCTGTTTCATATGTAGATACTTGCTTCTGTGTCAATCCCCAATATACTAATTAATTCAGACATCTCATTGTCTCACCTAGTCCTCTAGCTCCTATAAATATCACCAAGGTCAGAGTCTTGCTGTGTTTCTCTTCTCCTACATACCCCTCCCTCATCAACATAATTACAAATGTAATTTTTAGGAGAGGAATTTTGAAGCCAAATTTTAATATCTTTTTGTCATTGGATAAAGTTTTCAAAAATTTAGAAACTCTTCTAAAAATGATTCCAGAGAATATAGAAAAAAATAACTGAAGTAATTATGTCCTTAGTGGTTAATAACAGGGCAACTTGCTAACACATCAATATTGACCAGCTTTTGGTAACAACTATCTAAATTTTGAGGTTTATCTTTGTTGTTAGTCCACTTAGAAAAGCATGATATTTTTATAGTATACGTCCACAATTAAATAACTCTATGAGCCAGCGGACTTATTCATTTCATTTAACTTTGACAACATTCACAACCATAAAGGTCTAATAGGCTCAACAAATTATGCTATCGGTCTCAAAGGTAACAAAATTCCTCTGTTAATGAGTATTTCATTGTATAAATATTTCTTTACATATTTTTCTTCCTCATATAAGTAGAAGCTCTTAGGAATAGGGATGTAACTTTATCATTTTAGACTCAGCAGCATAGTGCCTGTCATATAAGGTGTTCAATAAACATATTGAAATAATGTGGGAAGCAAAATATATTTATTGCAATTATACTATTACTGAATGGGTTTATCTGTACATTTTGTGACTTGTGTATAAAAGTTGTTTTAATTTATGTTAGGAATTTACATTTTAGAATGTTATTACATTGTGCTGTAGTTATGTATAAGTATGTGTTAATTTTTATTATATCTGGTACATGGTTTATGTTCAATGAATGAGACAATTGGTTTAGTAGTTCATACCACTTTAGTTTTTTTGTTTGTTTGTTTTTCAGTGTATGGAAAAGTTCATTAGAAGCATTTTTCATGGTTCTTGAATCTTGAAAATGAAATCATAGATTTAAACTCATTTATCTACCTGTTTTTAATGCTTAGGGATTATTTGTTTTCCATGAATTTTAATTATAACAGCTAATTAATTCTGTGTTTCCTTTCAAAGGCAATAATGCATAAAACAATGACTGCAAAGTGCATTAGTGCACTTGCAACCTTAATTTTTCTAATAAATGCATAATATTTTGAGTGATATAAATCATAGATTTAAACTCATTTATCTACCTGTTTTTAATGCTTAGGGATTATTTGTTTTCCATGAATTTTAATTATAACAGCTAATTAATTCTGTGTTTCCTTTCAAAGGCAATAATGCATAAAACAATGACTGCAAAGTGCATTAGTGCACTTGCAACCTTAATTTTTCTAATAAATGCATAATATTTTGAGTGATATTTTTCCCACTTTTGAGGGGGAGGGATAGTACCCAAAGCTTATCACCTTAAATATACGGGTAACATTTTATTTCTCTATTACTGGAATGTAGGCTTTTGTCATTGCTATGAAAAATAAAATCAGCATTTCTGCAGGTCCATATTAACATGTAATAAAACATTTCAATCCTATAAAATAGTTATTAAAATATTAAAATATATTTAAGAAAAATATATATATTGTTTGTATTTATTGTTGCTAGAAATAAAATAGAAGAATGTGGATGTCAGGGCTTTCATTTTTTTCTTGAATGTCTTAGGTATCCTGTGGGGCTCTGAGGGGATTGGAACTACTGAGAGTTGGGGAGGTAGCAGTGGATTGTTAGAAGAGGTTTCTGTAGTTGGGATATGTCCAGCCATTGTAAATTTGAATTTCAGACAACCTAGTGTGAATGAACACAGCATAACAACTAGTCTTCAGGTGAGTCATGGATTGGGAGAAACCTCCTGGCCCTGCTTGGGTTAACAAAACAAAACAAAAAATAGTCCAAATGCCTGTGAGCTGCCAATGACAGCAGCAGAAACCAGCCAAATGTGCAGGGCCAGAAACTGTCCAACTGTCCCACTGGCTAACAGACATAAAAACACCAGTCAGCTTCTAGCATGTAAGCCTTCTTACCTCACATACCAGATACTCATGGAGTGGAGCCAGCGAAGGGGGCCAAAGGTTCAAGTGTACGTAGTAACATGAAAGAGACTTTTAAGTGTTTGCATTAGACAGATCTTTTCTTAATTTTAATACTGTATTTGTAATTGTTCTTCACTTTAGATAGGGCCATGTAGTATCATGTTTTCTTAATGTTATGAGCTATTGTTTGCTAAATGACTTTGGCTGGCAAGATCTTCTTCCAGATTGTGACCCAGGTTGAAACAGAATTCCTCCTTGAAAACTCAATTCTTGAAACACAAACTCTGTCCCTATCTTCCAAGTGTTCATAAAGCCAGTTTTCTTCTGCAAATGTTTGAAGATATCCAGTGCTACTCATTACTACTTGATCTAAACTTCTCCAGACTTATTTTCATTATTATCTTCACTTTTCCACATACCTCTAGGTTTTTGAAATTTAGTTTTCCTTCAGGCATTGGCCAGTTCATGGTTTATAATTTCCCTAGACAGAATCCTTTAACAGAGTTTATTTAAATCTTAAGGCATGGTAGGAAATTGACCTGTCTTTAGGTTATTGTGATTACTCCACTCTAAAAAGAGGTCTTTCTCTGTCAGTATTTTAATACTCACAGGTTCATGTGAGTGAATCTTTCCTTTTATATCACTAAATAGATTGGTTAATCATCACAGTCTGATGCATTGACATTTAAAGTTCTTTCCCAAAATTTGGAACCAGCTTGAATTAGCCTCTTTTTTCTTATAGAAAAAAAGAAGCCCTTCAATGACATTTCAATCTCCACTCTTACAAAAAATGTCATAAAAAGCATTTAAAATAGAACTTTGTCCCCTTTCCAATCACTGAGAATTATATAAGATGGAGGAGATACAGGATTTTATGCATTTACAATATAAGTTACAAAATGGTTACTCAAAGCTATAACAATATAACCATTATACATATTTATTTGATTTATATGTGTGTTTTCCAGAGAAACTAACTTAAAAAGTAATATTCTTTTCACCATTGATCCACAAATTTTCAAAATGTTGAATGTTTTGTGGTTTTTGAAATGCCAAAAAATATTGAATTTGGAGGCAATGTGACCTCTTACTGGTCTACATAATGAACATTGATTATTTTAAACTGCAATTTATTATTAAATAATTTTTATAAAATATTTTTTCAGGGTAAAATCACTTTGTACTTACTAAATTTTGTGGTTTTAAAGATCTTTACAAAGCTTACTAAGCCTAACCTATCATAGCTAACAAAATAATATTTATGAAAATCTTAAATCTTTGTCAGCTCTCAAAAAATAGAATTTAGACATAAATATTAAGCAGATTATCCTAGTATTTATAATGTTAGGTTCTACTGCACCTGATAAAACATTTTTGCATTTCTTCCAAGTTCACGGATAAATATTTAACCTGATTTTACTCTGGTAATAATAGTGAATCTTCCATGGAAAGTTAATTATCCTTCCTTAATCCTGACCAAAATGTGTGCTATAAAATCACCTTAAATTTTTTAAGAAATCCTTTCCCTGTGGAATTTTCAGATTTAAAAATCCAATTAGCTGTAATGTTTTTCCTTTTAGAGATTATCTATCTTTTTATATTATAAAACATTTATTGGAATTCAAACTATTTTATAGGTCTTTTTTTAAAGAAAGTTTTAACAAATTGGTGAATTTTTTCTCTTACAAATAGTATTCGCCTCATGTCTATTCCACAATATTCTTCAATTTAAATATGGTTCATATTTCTCTTACAAGTACAAACTAACATGTACTCTTATTCCAAAATTTTTCACATAGGAAATTATTAATCATTTAAAAATAAAGCATCCAGTGTATATCTCTTCCTTCGATAAGTGAAATATTGCAGAACCAACCAATATTCTCTTAGTGAAAAGACTACCATGAATGTAAAGTTTTATTCAGTGTTCCTCAAACTTGCTTTAAATATAAAATAATCATTTGAGGCATACATGCTACAAAAAACAAATCCAGGACTTTGCTCTTGGAAACTTTTATTTAGTGACTTTTGTACTCATGTCCTGGGAAGTTATAATTTTAACAAGCATTTCCCACATTTCTTATTATTGGGCAAGTTAGTAGAAGTTGAGAATCCAGCTCTGAAATCAGAGAGGCCTGGGTTTGAATCTCATTTTTAATGTAAAGAATGATGTACACACTGTAAAAATATACGTAAGGTTCTTACCCATTCTGTTCCCCAGTTTTTTTTTTAATCAATGAAACTAGGCTAAAATAGTTATACCTCCCACAAAAAGTTGTGAGATAAATAATGCATTTTACAATGCTTAGCAAATTATAGTTTCCTTAAATGTCTTATATCCTCTGTCTCCATTTCTTTCTTTGATTTCAGCAGAAGCCATGTTCTCCCAACTCTCCAAAATGCTACCACAGTCTTTCACTTCACAATCAAATACACAATTTTAAATTTGAAAATTACCCAAGTCTATCTTTTTAGAGGGAATTAATATGAGAAAGTGAAACTTTGGTTTTTACTTGCCCTAAACATTCATCCTTAAGCCCAAGCTAATTATTTATTAATTTATTCATTCAACAACTATTTCTTTCACCTTCTACTAAGTGTTATCACTATGTTAGGCTTAGGAGTCCAGCATAACGATAGGAAAACTCAGTCTGTTCCCTGTTCTCCTTGAATCACTGAGAATCCTTTTACCTCTGAAATTTTTTTTTTCCCCTGTAACTTCTATTGCTAACACTTTCAGTTAGACCCCATATTTCTATGCTCTGTAAGTGCCATGAGTGTTAGAAAGTTGCTAACGTTGCACATTTGTTCTTATTGGATGAGCAGCCTCATTAGCTCCTTGACTACAGCTCTAAAGCCTAACAAGAACCCCTGTCAGCTGATGCCAGATGAAGAATGAAGCCAAGCTCACTAGCTTATCCATGAGCAAAGGAGCCAGACAACCAGAACTCCACACCAGTGTAACATAGGTAAGAGCTTAGCAGTTTATAAGCAATATTGAATTTGTTGAATAACTTATTTTTATAAATTCCAATGCAGAAGGATACATAAATTTTTGAATAAATAAAATTAATTTTTTTCTCAGTAATCCCCTACCTTACTACATCTACTCAGCTCTATAGACAGGGTAATGTTGGCAAAGTTTAAATATCATGCAGAGTGCTCTAGTCATATTTTTACTTGATAAATTGAATGAGAATACAATTTCCCATATGATTCCCCCACTATATATGCTTACCACAATAATGCACACTTGAGAGGATGTGCAGGGGTCACCTATTGAATTTTAGAAATACAAAATGAGGATGGCCAGTCATAAAAAAATCTGCTTATGTACAGTGATCCCTCTCAGTAACTTAACAGCTCTCCTTGCTCTTGAAAAATGTAATTAATGCAGCATCAAAGGAGAAAAAGAAATCAGAGGTAAATAGTAGAAACCCCATGTTATCAGGAATACTAGGGGAATTTATACAATGCAGAGTTAGAACCTCAGTTAAAAAGAAGAAGGTTAGGGCTGGGGATTTAGCTCAGTGGTTCTGCCGCCTGCCTCACAAGCACCAGGACCTGAGTTCAATCCCCAGTACAAAAGAAAAAAGAAGGCTAGCTGAAGGCTAGAAATCAGTGATTTTGTAAGAAGAGTTATGTCAATAGCTGCTGTAAACTTTTGTTCCTCAGCTCTGGCCTCTTCACCCACATACATTTGATCAGAAATGTTGACAATTTATTTTAAAATAAGGATTAGGAAGTTACCTTAGGGCAAGTAAGAGGAATTAGGACAGCAGGTTCTGTTAAGTAAAAAGAAGAGACTCAAATCTGGTGAATGGGGCCCAGACTTCCTGTTACACATTTCCATTCTTATCATGGTGATCTGTCTTTGAACAAGGGTGTCAGAAGGGAGAACAAGAAAGCCCTGATGCTTAGTAAATGAAAATGGGTTTGATTTTTTGCACTTTCTACTTCAACCATCCTAATTTCTTACACTGCGGCCTGGGTGCAGTCAACATTTTTATAGGATAATAGCATCATAGTTTGAATGGACACTTGCATTTAGATGTGACTTCGAAAAGGCCAGTTGGCCATTCAAGAGAGTTCCTCATAGGACTGCTTATTGCAGTCACCAAGTCTACATTTGTTACCTTCTGCTACATAATAAACTACCTAAGTTTTAATGGCTTAAAACATTCTCATTGATCATGACTCTGTAAGTCAGGGACTTGGACAGGACCTCCTTGTCTCTGTTCCACTTAGTGTTGGCTGGAAAGATTCAGCAAGAACTGGAAGCCTCACACATATGGTGCCTTGGTACTGGGAGTTAGTTGGGGCTCTTTAGCCCTCATACATTGGGCACATATTTAGTGCCATTTGCCTGCAACCATTGCCCTCTAGAATCCCACACCTTTCACACTCTGCCTTCCCTTTATCTATTTGTTATTGCTTATACATAGCACCGCTCATCTGCTAACAAACTATATAATCATACATCTCTTGCTCATGTCTCCCTCTAATACACTTTAAATTTGGTGATGGCAGAGATCTTTGTCTGTTTTGTGTCAACTGCTAAATCTCAAGCCCTTAGTATCTAGTGTATCTTAAATTCCTCATAAATATTTGTGAAATGATTGCATGAAATTTTAAAACCTGGATACTTGGTGGGTACCAATATCAGAACCCATGCCCAAACCTATTTAAACATTCTATAAAGCAGTTTGAGAGCCAACATTAACTGCTCTATGATATCTTTTGGATAACCTAAAAGTGAATCATATCTTATTTATGGTTAAATTGTCAAGACACTGAAATTAGCTTCTGCAGACTTTATTAATTACTACTTTTCCTTCTGCTAATCTTTACATTCCTTCTGCTAATCCCTACATTGTCGTTATGAACTATATTCCTTTTCTATAGAAATATGCTACATAAACTAATTCATGTGAATATATTAGCCCATAATGGCGTGTAGTAGGTACTTCATCAGGAAAATGCCTATAAGAAAAATTTTATTTTCACAACTCTCCTTTAAACTAGCATTTTCTGTTTGGTTGTAGTGTGTCTGTGACTATTTGAGAGATCTAAAATCCAAGTTTACCATGTGAAATTATTTAAATTTTACAAGTCATTCATCTTTTGTCACATTCGTGTTGCTGAGACACATTACTGGACACCTGCAATTTTTTTTTCAGCTTTGATTGAGTTTATTGGTACATTTTAGGGATACAGTACAGTTACCACCTGCAATTTTAAAAAGGAGAAGTTGATTTTGGCTCACAATTATAGTCTTTTGCTAAGAGACAAGGCAGAGACAGCATGGTGGGAGGGTTTTGGCAGAAGAAAGCTGCTCTTGTTACTACCTTCAGAAAGAGGAGGGAAGAGGCCAAGAGAGAGCTGTAACTCTCCAGGTCACAACCCAGTGACCTGCCTCTGAGGGGCCCCACCTCCTAACAAGAAGTCAGCTATTGAGCCAGGGATTTAGCTCAGTGGTCCGGCTGCCTGTCTCACAATCACAAGATCCTTTGTTTGATCCCCAATACCAAAAAAAAAAGTCAGCTATAGTGTGGGAGATCCAGTCACCTTCCAAAAGCCCTGCCCCTGATCACATGAGAGTTTGAGGCTCATTACTGATCTAAACCCTAACATAGTTACTCTTTTATTCTTAGTTCCTTTTAGTAGGAATTTGATACAGGAAGCTAGAGGGGGCTCTATCACTACATTGTTTAGCATTTTAGTGACTTAGTTACTTTCTCTGAAAAATAGGGATAATAATAATGTGCTTCTTAGAGAATCATTGTGTGTATTCAGTGTGTTTACAAATAAAGAACCCTTCAGCTAGTGCCAGGCCAATAATAAAATAATATAAAAGTGAGTTTTTATTATTGATTTTCTAATTTTGACATTTTAAGTTATTTAACATTGATTTAAACATAATTTTATGATTTTTAAATTTAGGATATTTTTAAATATAGAGAATAGTGTGAAACAAACCACACAGAATTTAAATAGTAGATTTGCTTCTTTATTCCTTTCTAAGCTTTATAAAGACAAGTGTTCCTCTAAACAAAATTACAGTGGCTTCCAATTGTCTAATAAAGTACATTCCATCCTGTGAATTCTCAGCAAATGTTTAATGATAATATTTCAGCATTTCTGAAAACAATAGTTAATGTTTTCTCCCATATTTTAGTAAAGTAAATTGCAGTTTTTAAAATTTATTTTAATAGTGGAGGCTGAATATTCAAATATTATTTGCAAGGTTAAATATATTTAAAACCAAGGGCTTATTTAGCCTTTCCTCTGAACATTTCATCCCTGTTGATTAAATGCATTCATTAAAGACAACACGATTTGGAGCTCGCTGTTTCATAGCTTAATGGAATTTTGTTTGATTACTTATTGATTTAATTTTCAGAAATGCAAATATGTGTGGTCTCCTTGCTGAAATATATTTTATTAAATAGAATACAATTTAGGATACACATATCCCTCTTTTTGTCCTGGTTTGTTTAACCACATTAGAAATACAAATCTAAGAAGAAAGATTTTTTTACCAAGAAATACAGTTCTAAGAAGATGCATTTTATACCTGTTAAGGTCTGTCTAGCTATGCACACTCTCAAAGTAAGCCTGGCTACAGAAGTGAGCCCCGACTTGCACAGTAGGTGATCTCTTAGAGACCAGCACATCAAAAAAAAGAGAGATTATTATGTGGAAAAGTATCTAACAGTTTGCAACTTTAGGAGTAATGTCCCCAAAATATACATCTCAGGAGAGAGACTGGGCCCAGTGGAAGATCTAGAAAGAGTAGGGATCCTGGTCACATGCAGCTATAGATTTGAGGACTGTGAAGAGACACTAAAATTCAGAGTCTCAAAGTTTAATGTGTTCGGTTGGGAGGGATAGAGAAAGCAGCAATGGCTGTCCTAATCTTTAAGACTAAGTTCTTTGGTAGCACTCTGAGGGTCGTCAGGTGAGCAGTGGTGGATTAGGGTCAAAAACTTACTGAGCACATAGAAAGTTGATCTAGAAAAGCAGAACTGAAAGAATACCTACAAAAAGAGTCTGTACTTTTAGAAGCCTTCGGTGAACAGAGTCTGCCTGTGACCCAGTAGAAGCCATATGAATGAGAGGTTGACAACGGTGGTAGAAGCGACAAGGCTGATGTTAGTGATCCAGGCAGCCGGGGGTCCAGTGCTGCTTCTGAGAGAGATATTGAAGCAACAAGTCTCAGTTAAAGCTCTGAGATGCAAAGCACAATGACAGGTACTTCATATGCATTTCTTTTCTAGCCCTCACAACCCTAACCATGTCTATATGATCTCCATTTTATGAATTTAAAAATAAGTAAACTGAGGTTAGATGTGCCCAAGGACACACAACTAGTTTAAAAAATGTGCTTAGAATAAAACATAGAACTAATTTCTTGAAATCATATTGTCTCTCTATGAAAGTTTTTTTAAAATTAATTTTATTGGTACATTTAAGGCATACAGTATAATGACATTCATCATTGGAAAATTACACCTTTACATAATTGATCTTAGTTCTTATTTTTCCACATTCTCCTGCCCTCCATTCAACCCCTCCTCTCCCTATCTCAAACACTTTGTTTCCATTTTTTTCATTTTCTCATATTAATTCCATTCCCTTCTTTCTTTTCCCCTATCCCTCCCATTTTATTCCATTCTAAGAAATCATAGTTGGGAATAGTTGAAAGTTTATTTGGTCAATGTCTTCTATTTTATTATTGGAATAAATATACATTTGCCTTTTTTTCAACATTATAAGGTTCATAAGAATTATTATTGAAAAGTGAGTTCTTCCTTCAGTAAGTAGAATGTCTTAAAGTTTGAGAATGATTGAACTACATTCTCGACCAATTCTGCAGGTTGAGTCTGTCAACTAGCTGCAAATTAAAATATGCTTGCTCTATAGAAATAAAAACAGCCAATATAACTTACTGCCACTTGGATTTCTCCTTTGCTTTTCTGTTATTTAGAGAAGCATGATTGATTTTTATTTCTTCATTCTTTCATTACTTCATTCATTACTTTAGTCAAGAAATAATGTCATAGACATCCTTTAAGATTCTGTGATTTGTTCAAATGATTGGAAAATCATTTTGATAGATTTTTAAATGTAGGGATGTATTCTCATCACATTGACATAAGATTTAGAATATATCTGGAAAGGAAAATACTAGTAATTGCTTAAAAGACTACTATTAGAATAACATAATATGGTACTTTGTGTTTAATAAAAGGCATTTCACCTAAATTAAAAGTTACCTCAAACTCTACAATGGAAATACAATGACATAATCTCAAATACACATATTTATGATGGAATGAACAATCATATACATAATGGGCATATAGAAATCATTACTGTAGACATAGACCCTTTCTGAGAAGCAGTAACTGTATCTTGCCTTCTACTACAGTTACAACTATTCATTTATTTTGAATGACACGGCAATACATGAGGCAGATAAGCAAGGATCAGTGTCCACATTTTATAGAGGCAGAGATGAATGTCAGCCACTGGATTACTCAGAGGATCCCCATTGTATCTCCTTGCCCACTTTGTGTAATGGAACAGTTTGTTTACGTGGTTTGCTTATGATTCTTGAAGCTTCAGCTGATTCAGAAGGTAAGAATTCAGTTTCCAAAATATTTTCTTTACTAGCTTGTCTGCTGCCTTAGTGCCTTTTGGTATCTTTCCTTCTCCATGTCAGGTTTTCTCCTCAAGGACCTCTCCTCAGTGTGAGGGTATCAGGCTTACACCTCATATAGTGGTGGCTGCCTTGTAAGTGGGGGAAGGGGAAACTGCCAAACCAGTTAAAGGCTACGTCTAGAACTGGCATAATATGACTGCTGCTGGTTTGGTATTATGGTTGCTGGAATTTTTTAGTTTTTTGTTTATTTTCCTTTTTGATTTGGTAATGACAGTCACCAGACTACTCTAATGCAGACTACTCTAATTCACCTCAAGGAAGAGCCTGGGAGGGGTGGGGTTACTGTTGCAGCCACCATTGCAGAATGTAATCTCAACAAACTCAGATCTGTCTTAATCCGTATTCAGTGATTTTTGACTACAACACATTGCTTGATAGGAACAACTACAACTTAATCAATCATTGCATTTGATTTAGATGTGAATATTGGTTAAAATACATCTATCTAAACAAAGTTCTTATTCTGCTATGATTAGGGAATATCTTGACTATTTCTCCCAACCAAGCTGATTTAAATATATTTAGAAAAATACTTAAAACCTCCTTTTTACACAGTCTATACTATAAATCCTTGTGTTGTGATCCTGACACATATTTTTGTAAGCCCAATTTACTACTGACCAGATTCTCAACAACTCTGCTAGTTCTTCCTTCACCATTTTTCACATAAACCTCTCCTGTAATGTTGAGGGTTTTCCCCCCTCATTGTTTTTGCTTGTCAAGCACTCTCTACTGTCCTATTTACTCTTTCACCAACTTTCAATACTTATCCAAGACTCTACATTCCTGCCAAAGAGATAGGACTTTGCCCGTTCATTAGAATGTATCACAGCCTGGAAACATTTTTGCCTTCTCTCCTAAGCAAACAAACAATACAAATAGACCAAAAACAAACAAACAAACAAAAATCACCAATAAAGGTATGGGCAAGTGATAAATATTTTAGTTAGTAGCAAGAAAACAAAGTGGAAATTGCTTTGCAAGTTCTCAGAAGTTGTACAGGTCATGTTGATACAGAAAAGAACAACAGGAAAAAGGATAAGTGCTTGAGGAGTTTGACAAGGTAGGATCAGCCTTCAAAATGAGGATCTTGACAACAGCAAACAGGACCCAGTGGAACAGGGAGATTATTTGGGGGATCATTCTTTTCTATAAGCAAGGCTGCTGAGAACCCAAACACAGAGGAGACAGGATGAAACAGTCTGAAAAACTACTGAAAAATCCAGGTGTGGAGGCACATGCCTTTAATCCCATCGCTCTGGGAGTGTGAGGCAGGATGATCGTAAATTCGCCTTGCCTCGAAATAAAAATTAAAAAGAGAGCTGGAGATGTAGCTCAAAGTGAAGGACTCAATCCTTAGTACTGCCAAAAACAACAAGAAGAAAAAAAACAACACATTGAAGAAGGGAATAAAAAAATACTTGTTAGAATTGGGAGTGAGTGAGAAATAAAACTAGTCATCTTAGAATATTGAACAAGCCCTTGCTTTTTTTTCTAAATCTGGGAGAAATCCCCTATAGGTTAGTTTATATTGAATCATATGACCTTAGGTATCCTTGATTGACCATAATAGTGCCTCATGATTTTGAAAAATGGCTTGAAATTAGTTACTTTAGTTAGTGATGCTACAAAACCATTTGTTCTCTACATAAACAAAAATCATGCTAAGTGTTCTTTATGGCATAATTTAAAATAATATCCAAAGTCCACATACACAGATGGAAATGAGTATAATAAAAAAGCCAACAGAAAATGCCAAGTGGTGTGTTTCTTAATAATGTTCTCAGAAGATGGGCAAGGTGGCTCACTCCTATAATCCTAGCACTTGGGAGCCTGAGGCTGAGGCTGAGGCAAGAGGATTGCTGTGAATTTGAGGTCTTCCTGGACTACGTAATGAGTTCAAGCCCATTCTGAATTACAGAGCAAGACCCCATCTCAAAAAAAAAAAAAAAAAGTCCTCAGAAATGTGCTGCTGCTGTCACTTTGGCAACTACAAAGCAATGCTTGGATTCCTGCATTTGTGAATAATTTCTTCTATCATTCTTAAAATGCTGAAGTTATCCTGCTAGCTCAGTGTTTTATTTTCAGAGATATGTAGTCTTATTGATTTTCATTTGTTGATATAGTTTTTAGTGAGGACTAGAAAGAATAAATGATTTTGAGTTAAATGACAAGTATAAAAACTGCATCTAAACACTATTTGTTGTAAAGGAATGGTGACTTTTACTCCCAGCAAGTTAAAAAACCTTAAAGAATGATTTCAGAACAAAGCATAAGCAGGTATCATGTAGATAAGCAGGGGCTTATGGAGTTATGAAGCCTGCAGAAATATGGTTTAGAAGTAGATTTCAAAATAAATTTAGGATTTATACATGGGTAAGTCTATGATATAGGTCATGGGAACACAGTATTTAATTCATTCATAGAATAGGTTTTCAATAAATTTTTGTTAAATGAATAAAGGTGACAATCAAAATATACTCACAATAGATAAAGATATAATATTAATAGAATATAAAATTGTATGTGTAATAGAAGTACACTATTGAGAACAGTGAAGATGATAGTTTGATTATTGTGCCATGGAAAGAGATACCACTTAGCTTTTTAAAAACAGAACACTGGAAGTATTTTAAAACAGAACACTGGAAGTATTTTGTAAGGGGTCAAAGTAAAAAGAGGCTTAAAATCCTATTATGAGAATTGATACAAGTAATTAGAGAAATTTAGCTAGCAAATTCTTTGTGATTTGGGGAAGACAGGATTCAAATATTTGATTATTTGAACTAGCTTACCTATAGAGATCCTCCCACTTCTGTGAGTCAGTAGTTTCCATCTAAATCTTTAAAACATCTGTTGTCAATTTTCTACTTAGGTTTTGGAAAATACAGCATGTGAATCACATAACAAGCACATTCGATTTAGCTGACAGGATAACTCTAATACCTAGGTTAGGCTGTAACAATTGTTAATTGTGTAAGGTGTTATAATAACACAGCATTCCTTCTTTCCTAGAGATACATTTTTAAATGTTTACAGAAGAAATGAAAAAAAAAAACAAAATGTTCAAACCAGTGTCCCAAGAAAAAGAATCCATTTGCAATGATCTATATAATGAGTGGGATAATCTCTAAAGAATGAAAATTTGGTATTCTATCTTCCTAACTCCCTTTAACCTCTCTTCATAGTTCTTCATCTTATTCACGCCATGGGCAGTTCATCTCTAATTCATTATCTAAGATCTGAAGCAAGACTAACTATGCACTGTTCATCAAAGTTTGGTTTCATCCTGTCTATTATATGTTCCAAAATCAAGAGCTTTCTTTGGTTTGTAAAGGCCCATTTCAAAGACTTTATTCTTTCAAATGGATAAAGGGTAACACCAAGTACTTTACCAAGTGAGTTTGTAATAACTTGGTAAAACCTGATGCTTCTAACTTCAACGAGCACAACATGCATTTGTTGAGAATTTGATCTCATAAAATCAGAGTTGCTGTGTCCACAAGCGTATGCTGATCATGAGAATCCCCAAATTTTTCCAGAGGAAAAATTCTTATTATCAAATCATCTATATTAGTTTAACCTGATTATGTTTTTTATTGTTGCTAGCTTATTATTTGTAAAATTTTTTCTTTGATGTTTTTATGGTTTTTTGTTTTTTAGTAACTGATATTTTCTTTTATTATTATTTTGTTCCACTTCAATATGGCTAGAATTCTTTTGCTCACTAGAAATTAAAGGCAGCCATAGTGGATGGGCTAGGATTATTAACTCTAAGTCAAGTGGGTCAAATCAAAATTATTTCAGAAACATTGCTCAATTCCTTTTTGTAGAGGTGGAAGTTGCATTAGTTTTCTACAGTTTCTGTTAACAATCCAAAATAATTATGTCACATGATCATTTTATATTTCTAGAGGTCAGAAATTGGAGTCACTGGTTCAAAAATATTTTCGTTTCTTTTTTTCCAGCTCCCAGAATCTGACTATTCCTTGCCCCATGGTCCTCTCATTGCCTTTTCAAAGCCAGCAACAGCTGATCAAGTCTTCTCACACTGTTTTTCCTCTGACAGTCACTTTTTTCTCCTCTCTTTTACTTCTAAGGATGCCTGAACTTAAATTCACCTCACCACAAGATTACTGAACAATTTTCCCATCTCAAGATCCTTGATCAAATATGCAAAATCGATTCTACCATCTATGGTAACATATTCACATATGGGGGACATGAATATCTTTGAGGAAACAATTTGTGTCCTATGAGAGAAGTAGTAGTAAAAAAAGTATTCTGTACCAGAATTACCACTATTGGCTGATGGAGATAAGCTCTCAAAAATCCTGAAATAAAAGTTAGTTTTGAAATACTTTTATAAAAGAGATTGCAAATTATGAAAGTGGTACTATTATTTTTACAGCCCAGGAACAGCTTACATTACATAAGTATGTGCTAGTAAACCCAGAAACTTACCTACCATTAAGCATATAGCTTCTGTAGAATAAATGTAATTTAGCTCCCAAAACAACCTTCTGAATGAACATAAAGACACCAGTAATTTCTAAGTAGATTGTACTTTACAAGAAAAAGGTGACCCATTAGTCCATTGCTACCTTGTTACACATTATCTGTCTTTGTCATTTTCCTCAATGCTGGGGCAAAATACTCAACATCCACAACTTATTTTGGCTCACATTTTTAGTCCATCGTTGGCTGGCTCTAAGGAAGGAAGATGCAATGGAACAAGAGCAGAGAAGAGCTGATCACATCAAGACAGCCAAGAAGCAGAGATAAAAGGAAGAAACCAGGGAGGGCGTTACACCCTTCAGGTCATGCCCCCAATGACCTCTTCCAACCCAATCCCATCTTTTAGCAGTAAACAAACTACATCACACCCATGATTTCATCATCCAAAATCTCTGCATGTGAGTGTGTGAGGCTCTTGGGGGACATCTGGATCCAAACCATAATAATCTTGAATTTGGTATTTCAGTCATCTTGTAGAGTCTGAGAGAGCTAAAAGAAAGGACTTTGTTTGGTGGAGGTTCATGCATTAAACTAATATTTCTTGTGTCCTACCACACCTTGCACATTGCTACTAACTGCATTTTTAATGGTGATAAAGGTGTGTGATACCTTTTTCCCTTGGTTTAGCCTAATGGAAAAAATTATGGGAGGAAAACAAACAGGTACAAAACAAGGTTACTAGGTGTTGTGTGGCAGGAAGGTCTTGACGAGTTACTCTAATGAAAGTATTTTGTCACCAAAAAAAAAAAAAAAAAAAAAAAAAAAAAAAAAAAGGAGGCTGCTGGAAAAAAGGGAGGAAGGAGAGAGAGTCAGAAGGACCAATAAAAAACTATTGTCTGCTTTATTGATTTGGTCTTGTGCCACCACAGTTGCCTGGGACATATGCACCAAGTACTATTGCTTAAAAACACCATTTTCCATTTTGTTATGACAAAATTCTCTATTTTTCAGAAGCTCAGAGAAAATGGTTTAAAATATCATGAAATGACAGTAAAGACATACCTTAAACTCCTTGCCTTAATTTCACTGATTGTATATAGGAGGACTACTTACTAGGACAGAAATGAGAATTTTTATTTCTCATGTAGCCTCTTTTTGTGTGTGGACTCTGTGAGCTTCTTGTTAAATAATGGACAGTGAAATAAACTGCTTTCATCTCTTAAGACTTCTTTCTTTCTTATATCATTTTAATTTCTCCTCTCTTCTTTGAGTATTCATATAGATGACTTTGAAAAACTGACCAGAAAGGAATAGTAAACATATTCGGTTAAGTAACTGATTGTTACTATGGCAACATCGAATGTGTTTGACATTTCCATTATTCTCTGTTGCTATAGTAATGAAACCTTGAATTCTAACACCATTTCCAAAGTCTATTAAAATAAAGCCCTTCTCATCCCCAAGCCAGAGGAAGGGCCAGTACTATTGAAGTGCAAGGCGCATTAGAATGCTTTCCAGCACTGAGACACTGATGACATGAGAAACGTTTTGCTACACTTCAAACTGAAAACATCTAAAAAAAGGAAAAACTTAGAAGGTAGAATAAAAATTTTTGTTGTTAAAATCATCCTTTTGTGTTTAATATATGTAAAACAGCCTTAACATGAAATTAAAGTCACTAAAATTTAACATCAAATCTTAATTCACTAAAAATAGTTTTTGTTTGTTTTAGGAAAAATATGGTACAAAGGGCCACAAAATGAATAAATAAATTACTTGGGATTCTACAATCTTTTTGTACTCAAAATATTATCTGATCTACTCATCCACTTTCAAATTTATGACAGAATAAGAACAGTTTTATGCTATCAGTTTGTCATATGTAACAGTATGCTTTGGCTACAAATGTTTTAATGAATGAATGAGATAGTATTTGAAAGTAAAGTGAGGAACAGAGTAGTAAGAATGTAATGCAGAAAAGCCAGGGATTTGGCTCAGGGGTTCGGCTGCCCACCTCACAAGCGCAAGAGCCCGTGTTCAATCCCCGGTACAAAAAAAAAAAAAAAAGAAAGAAAGAAAAAAAAGGATTGTAATGCAGAAAAACAGGGATATTAGAAAGAAAAGTGTGTTGAAATAGCACTGGAAGTAGTACGAAAGAAAGAACCAAAAATATGGAAAGACAGAGACCCGAATAGAGACAGAGCCAGAAATCCTGAGAGGGCTGTTTTATAAGAACTACATCAGGTACTATAAGGTAATTGACATAATTTTAAATTATTGGGTGTACTACGAGAAGCATAAATTGATAAAGACTTCTGAAGGTTCATTCATCTCTAAAGTAATTTAGAAAAATTGTTGCTTTCTTGGAAAGAATAGATACATAATGGTTAAATGAACCATAGGGGCTGAAATCAGGAATGTCTATGGTAGTTCCCCTATTTCCTTGTTATATGATCTTGAGTAAAGATCATAGAAAACTAAATTTTCTGAACCTGTTTCTTTTTTTATAAAATGATGATTTGCCTTAAATTTATGCCTCGATTTCCTAAACTATAAATCCCTTAAAAGTGGTATTATATGCAATGTATTTAGCAGATTGTCTCATATGTATTTAAATATTCATTAAATGTAGACGTTGCTAATATATTGTCTAGCTAGGGATTATAGGAGTGACAAGAAGTGGGGAAATTCTGTATGTTTTTGTCTTTTGCTTCTAAAGTCATGAAGTAGGCACTATTCAAATAATTTGACTAGAGAAAAAGTGGCATAACATGGCTTTTAGAAGTGAAACACATCATCTGGAAAAAACATAGAGCAAGAGTATGAGGTCTCAGGTTGATCACTAATTTAGTGATCTTAAATAAGCCAAAAAGAACTCTAGACCCACTTCCTCTTTTGTGAAATTAGGGTAAAATGATAATATCCTTAGAATAGAAATAAAAGGATACAATTATAAATAAAACTATGATAATGAAATAATCTTCCAATTTACTTATGATGTAAAAATATTTTGAAAAATGATTAATCACAAGTACAGTCCCTATCCAACTTTTTAAAACTATAGTTTAATTCTGGATTTTTTTTTTTTTTTTGTACTGGGGATCAAACTCAGGACCTCGCATTTGTGAGGCAGGCACAGCACCACTGAGATATGTCCCTGACCCTTAAATCTGGATCTTAATATCTTAGACTTATAGTGTTTTAATTTATTTAACAATAATAAGGCTTGATGGCTTTAATTTCCAGCACTTATTTCTCAACAATTCTAGACTGTCAAGTCCAAGATCAAGGTGCTGGCAGATATAGCTTCTGAGGAGGTTCATAGGCAGCTGGCTTGTGTGTCCTCATGTGGCAGAAGGGACGAGGGAGCACTCTGAATTCTCTTTTATAAGCACACTTAACCCTCTCATGACTGTTACACCTAATCACCTCCCTAAGGCCCCAAGTCCAAATACCATTAACTTGGGAGTCAGAGTCACAACATATGAACTTGGAATGTATGGAGAGACACAAATTTTTAGTCTTTAATAACAAATATAATGTGTTCTGGATCTTATTAAATGCTTTCCCCCAAGTTTCACTATGCTCTTTTTGCCTTTCCTCTCCAGAGAAACATTTCTACACTCTAGTCGAACAACCCCAAAGCCTTGCCAGGAATCGTAGTTCTTGCGTTAAAACAATGTAAATGAATTGAGTAACCATATGTAAGATTTCTAGGTAAACTCAGGATTCTGTTTTATCTGTATTGTTGTTATTGATCACAGCCCTTTTTACTTCACAGAGACAAATAATTAGGATAAGACAAAAATCAAGAATTTTGTCTATTGACGATACATACGATGGTGTTTAGCAGATATTCCATGGAAATGGTTAAAGAAATGGAGTAAAAGCAAGGGGCAAGAAGGGATAAGATAACTTTCATTTGGCTGATAAACAATGATAGATTCATTCACTGACTATTCAAGCAATTACATGATCATTATCCATTATACAACTTAAAAATCTAAATTTAGTGATAAACAATAAATGCAAGATCTGGGCTACATGCTGGGGACCTTTCAAATCTTTTAGTCACCTTCAAAGCAATCTCATTTTTAAGAGGATTGATTTTTTTTAGTACTGGCACAGTGTGATGTTCATGTGCACAGATGATCTGGGCTTAAACTCCAGCTTGGCTATTTACTAATTATGAAGCCTTGAAAAGATATTTAACATCTCTACCTCAGTTCCCTCATCCACAAATGTACGTACTAGTAGATTTCCCACACAGGTCTATTATTAAGAGTCAAATAGATTAATATGTATGAAGGCTTTAGATTAGTATTTTACAGAGAATAGTATTCAATAATTACTTGTTAAATGAGTTGAAGAGAATTGGTCAGTGAATAAAAGCCCCCAACTCCATAACTCTCTTAAGTTCCTATAAAAATGAAAAATGCACAAATATAAATACAATAAGGAAGTCACAAAAATTTGCTAAGAAAACATCATGATTAATTTTTACCATTAAACTGAAATTTATGCATCTGCTTTTCTGTTGATACATCATACAAAGCCAGCCAGTTCAGTTTTCACTAGTCAGAGTGTATTCAGGATGGTGTGATTTGAACTATAGGCTATGTTGCATAAGGAAAAAAATTCTGTATGAGTTCAAAGAAACAGGTGGTCAATCAAGGAATTACAGAAATTGTTGTTCAACCAGAGGCCTTGCTGATTGCTAAACAGAAGAGATATACTATCATCAGAGGTATATATATGCCAGAGGTGATTTTTGAACGTGAGCTCTAATTGAAAGGTCATAGAGCACACATTTCAAATTGCATGCATAGATTTGTAAATAATGCTTCTTTTATGGGTAATTTCATGTTTAGATGAGCTGGAATAAGGAACACGATTTAAAAAAAAAGAATTGTTAATGATTTTCCTAATCACTACTCAGTTTGTTTCATAGGCTGTTCTAGTAGAAATCAAAGTTCAGTCAATCTCTCATTATAAACAAAATTGGCAATCTTACCACATATTATGCTGATTCGATTTTTGGGACCCATTCAACTTCTCCAGATTTGTATGATACTTGGTATAAAAATACATAGATCAATAGAGTAGAACAGAAATCACAGAAATAAATTCATTCATTGAATAAATTCAGTCTTTGATAAGGCACCAAGACTATACAATGGGAAAAGGATGGACTTCAATAAGTTGTGTTCAGCTAGATAAGTTAAAGGATGAAATTGAATTCTCAACACCTATCATGTACCCAAATTAACTTAAAATGCATCAAAGACTTAAATGTTAGACCTGGAACTTCAAAAATCTTTGATGAAAGCATAGGTTAAAAACCTTCTTGACACTTCTTTTGGCAAAGATTATTTTGTGGTAAGAAACTTAAGTCATGGACAGCAAAAACAAAAACAAATGGAACTGCACCAGACCAAAAAAAAAAAAAAGCTTCCACACAGCAAACAAAGAAAACAAGGAATAGAAAAGGCATCCTACAGAAGAGAAGAAAAATATTTGCAAGCTATGATTTGGATTAATATTCAAAAATATAAGGAACTCATTCCACTGCCAAAAAAAAATATTTAAAAGTAATAAATATTTCTGATTACATATACGAGTGGCCCATAGGTATATGCAAATATGCCCATATAGTTAATTATTAGGCAAATATAAGTCAAAACCACAATAAGATAATCATTTCATATCTTTTAGAATAGCTATTATCTAAAAATAAAGTAAAAGGATAAGTATTGGTAAGAATGCAGAGAAAAGGAAACCCTTGTATATTTTTATTAAGAATATGAGTTGGCATAGCCATTATGGGAAATAAAACTTTTAAATGGAACTATCATACAATTGAGTAATCCTACTTCTTGGCATATATCTAAAGCAAATAAAATCAATTTCTCAAGGAGATTTCTGCATCTCCATGTTCATTGCAGAATTATACACAATAGCTAAGACAGGAAGGAAAACCTTCTGTGTTCATCTGTGGGTAAATGCATACAAACCTTTCGCATATATATTATGTATAATGGAATATTATCTGGTTGTAAAGATGAAAGAATTGTCAGGAGTGGTGGTGCATGCACTGGGAGACTGGGGGAGGAAGATCTTAAGATTGGCCAGCTTA